CAGGGCTTATGGCTTACAACTGCACTAAATTCTCAGCAAATCCTCCTCCTCTTCTTTCTCGAGCAAGAGGTAGAGATAGAGTTACAGCTCTGAGGAAAGGCCTGGAAAATATTGTGTGGGGCACGCCCCAGGATCCCAAGTCCTGGAGGATGCAAATGGCTCAACTTCAGAGGCACCAGGAACCCAGTGCCAGAGAAATTGACCCCAGTTGTAAAATAATCAGGTTACTGATAGCACCTGCCCGTGGTTACAAGCCATGGATACAGGCCTGTTTCCACCATTTCCCCTCCAGTCTCCCGCTTTCTCCTCCTCCTGGGCTGGGCAGGAGTCGCGCTAGTTTGCCTGCAGACGCTGGGTGGAGAAAAACTGAACCTGCCCGTGAATTTTGGACTGGAGATAAGAGCAGGGAGAGTCTGGTCAGCTCCTCTCCCTCTGCCCAGAGGCAGGGCTCCCAGGTTGGGTGTGTCCACCTGCCTGCCCAACTCTTAAGTTCCCTTTCCACGAGGGCAGTTGACCCTGTTGCCCTGTGACCCACAATGGCTTATTAAAAGGATTTGTTCTGTAAAATTTGGATTCGGTCAAAAGGCCGCACTGAAGGGTCCAGAGGGCCACATGTGGCCCCAGCCCTGCAGGTTCCCCACCTCTGGCTTAGGCCCCTTGGTGCCGAATAAACGATGGACTTTTATTGCCAGGTGGGCAAGGCCACAGGCTTCAGGTGTCCAAGGGCAGAGACTAGAGGAACCGGGGGGAGCTGGCTGGCCACTCACGTGGGGTCCAGGGAGAGGGGACCCAGACCTATTGGACTGCACACACGATTGTATTTGCTAATGAAAGTTTTGTTGACGTTTGTTAGTAGAAAGGGAAAAATCGGTAGTCCCTGATTTCCTTGAGGTTCCAGAAGGGAAAAGCAAGAATTGACCTCTGGGTGAGCCGGTGAGAACCTCCCGTCTCCACACAGGCCTGAGGCCTGGCCGCTCTCAAACCTGCGTCGGCCGCCTCCTGTGGGTCCCTCAGGACATGTGTATTTTCCCTGTGCTGGTGACAGCCCACGGAGTGAGCCTGCTCCCCGGCTGGCTCAGGGTTCGAGTGGGTGATTGCAGCCAGAGCCTGCCCCTCTGCAGCTGGGGCTCTGCTGTGCCGGGCAGGTGCGGAGGGGCCTTGCGAAGGCGGCTTCTCCAGGCCAGCCCTGAAGTGTGGGTGTTGAAGTTGTCTGTGTAAGTCTGACCCACACTCATTTTTGTGAGGTGTTTTTTTTTTTTTTTTTTTTGAAAAGTTAGGTTTAATAGACTTGATTTCTCACTTTAGAAAAATTGCTGTGGCATTCATGCTGTTAAAATCTTAGATGGTACCACTTCTCACAAAACTGGGGTTTGTGAGACAGAACCCTGGGGGCTGGGGGGAAATTCCCAGGCAGCCAGGTCAGTTAAGTAAGGGAGCAGCTCCTCCCCACCCGTCTGGGCACCTACAAGTGGATTAGAATTTTTAGCTGGGCCCTTTCCCTAGAAAGGAGGCCTGGAGCCAAGGAACCCCCCCCCTTAGTTATCTTTGTTCCCAGCACATAGTAGATGCTCAATAAATGTACCTCAACTCATTGAGGGGACATAGTGAGCATGTGTGAACTTGCCGAGTTCCCTTTGAGTCTTGAGAGACTGTCATTAAGGAGTCTGGTTGTTTGGATTGAAGGGAGGAAGCATGGGGAGGTGGCCCATGTGTGGTGACACTGTGGTGTCAACTCTGGGCTCAGACTGCCTGGGTTCGTACCCCACCAGCTAGGGCAGGCCTCTTGGGGCAGCCAGCAGAGCTGGGGACAGGCCTGACATGGGTGCCTGGGTCACGAGGCCATTGCAGGGAACCCTCTCGCTGCCCTCACCCGAAGCCCCAGACTTTTGGGCACTGGATGCTTCATCAGGTGGTTTTGATGTCAGTGGGAAATGCAGCCCACGCCTCCCCAGTGGGACCTGTCAGAGCAGGGCAGGGTGAAGGGGCGTTTTGATGGACAGTTCAGCCATCTGGGCCAGAGGAACACTGGGCTGTGTGAAGGGTGGCTGGGGGCTGCAGGACGGGCACATTGCAAGACGGCCTGCTGCCTCTGGCCTGCCAGCCACCACCCCAGTCTTCATACGTCCTCTGTTCAAGAACCCTGTGCAGTGGGACCTGAGTCCTTAATTGTCAAATTAACACAGCATCCTCATTAAACACCAGCTTCATGCCAGGCAATTCAAGGATTCAACAAGTCTCGCTGGCCTTGTGGGGGACATACAGCCCAGTCCCTACTCTGGGAAGGACCTAACTAAGGTCTTCTGCAGAAGGGCAGGGCAGAGGGCCACAATGGAGTGACATGCTGCAGCTGAGGGATGCAGCAGCAGCAGCGGGGGACAGCTCCAGCGGAGGCTTGGTGGAGGCGAGGGGGCGTGTCTGGTCCTTTGCAGTGGCACAGACCTGGTTCGCTCATGACCTTGGGCAAGTGCCTCAACCTCTTGGAACCTCGGTTTCCTCATCTGTAGAGTGGGGCTGGCACCTGCAACTGCTGAGTGGGGGGTGGCTTGCGATGAGCTTTGCCACCTGGTCCTTGTTTTCCAATTGGCTGAGCGAGGCCAGGTGAGGGGGCCTCGCATGCTGTCCCCAGCCATTCTGACTTCTCCCTGCTCCTCAGGGAGCCAGCCCTGTGATGTGTGGAACACTCCACAAGCCCTTCGCTAAGCCGGAGGCCGCAGGTACAGCCCTGCCAGTTACGAGCACCTTGGGAGGGGACAGTCTTGTGTGGCTCCCCTGCCCTAGTTTGCTCACCCATCCCTGGCGTGGCGGCCTCCTTGTTGCCCCTCAAACCCAGCAGCATGTGCCCGTCTCCCTGTTGCCTGTGCCTGGAACACCCCCTTTTCCGCTTCCTTCAGGCCTCTGCTCCAGTGTCCCCTGACCCTGGGGCCTTCCTTCACCCCCTGCCAGCTCGACGGGTTACCCTTTTCCTCAAGCTGCTCTCTTTATCTTGTTGCCCTCGTGATCCCCGAGGACATGTGTTTTTCTGCTTATTGTCCACGTCTTTCCCAGGATGGTGAGTGCCAGGCAGGCCAGGAGTTTGACTTGTCCACAGCTAAATTGCCCAGCACCTAGAAGGGTGCGTGGCCCGTAGTAGGCGTTCAGTAAATACTTGAGGAACGGATGGAGAGTTTGGAGAAGGTGGCGCTTCCAAACCCTGATGGAATGCCCTGTCTTTGAAGTCATGAGTGTTTCAACAACACCTAGTCTTCCTCCTTTGGCCATGGCTCCGGGTCGTCCCCTGAGCACGGCGCCCCCTGGATAGCCAGGAAGCAGCGAGGGGCCCAAGTGCGATGTTCTGCACCCGGCTCCCAGTGCCCACATGGCAGGACCGTCTGCGAAGATGGAGAGCTCCTTGCCCTTTGTGGCCTTGCTCTCCGCCTCCCCCACCTGCCAGCCTCCCTTCTTCCCCCACCCATGGAGTTTTCGAGTTAGCACAGGGGAGAGTTTTGTTGTCCCTTTGTACCCTTTGTGCAGAGATCCTTTTGAGCGTGTGTATGTCTGAGCGTGTACGCACAGTCTGAGTGCAAGTGATGCCGTGTGTGCACAGGGAGGGCTGTGGGCGGGTGTGCTTGTGTTTATGGAGCAGGCGTTGGAGAGAGGGAGGTAGAGTGAGTGTACTCGGGTGTGGGAGGACACCAGAGGTCACGTGAGCTCCGTCCCTCAAGGCTCTGGGTGTGCCTCCTGCAGACCCCGGGCATCGTGGCCCTGCTCCTGTCCTCTGGATTCAGCCACAGAGGGTCCACACTCTTCCTCAGCACAGAAGCTGCAAATTCCAGGAAACTCCCTGCCAGCCCTGGTGTGGGGGAGGGGGAGGCTAATCCAGGCTGGCTCCCCAGCACTTGGAGCAGATGTGTCTGCCAGAGGGACAGCAGCCTAAGAAAGTTCAGACCTAAGTGTGTTTGCTCGCCATAAAGAGACGTCTGTGAGGGGCCCTGGAGGGGAGGCTGGGGGACTGCTCTGCCCAGAGGTCCTTACTGGGGGCCCACAGAGCCCATTGTGTCTTTCTGGGGGGAGGCCAGGGTTCCAGGGTGTGGGAGCTGCTGGGTCATCTCCCTCTGGCGGTTTACAGCGGCTCCCAACGCAGTTGCTTGCTGCTCCTGAGAGAGGCTGGGCCAGAGGGGGTGGGGGCCCTTCCCGCTGGAGGGCTGGAGTGAAGGGGCCCCGCCCCGGGGGTTCCCGGATGACTGGCCAAGGGCTCACTGAAGCCTCACGCAGCAAGGGGAGGGGAGCAGGCGTGGTCCTCTCCAGCAGGCCATCCGGCTGTTTGGAAGGCCCTGGCGCCCCCCCAGGCCCTCCAGCCGAACCCCCTTTGCGGTCTGATCCGAACCCTGGCCCGCCCCACCCCCTTCCTTCTCTGCACTTCTGGGGCTGGCCTTCTCAGCTCTGGAAGCTACCCAAGAGCATATCTTTGAAGCACAGCAAAGGTTAGGAAGGAGGAAGACAGAAATGTCCTCTGGGCCGGGGGAGTGGGAGAAAGGAATTCCATGCATGCTCCACGGGAGTCAGGGCGCCAGGCCTGGGGGGCGGTCAGCCCCGAGAGGCCCAGGGAGTCCTGCCACCCCGTTCTGGCCGCCTGGCCGCCTGGCGCTGTGGGGAGTGAGCCCTCTTCCCGGGGCTGCGGATGGGGAGCGGGGAGCAGGGCCCTTGTTTACAGCGCCTTTCAACCTTGGCTCACAAGGGTAAGAGCCAGGCCCTGCCGTCCGCCCCTGCAGGATGTGAGACCTCGTAATTGTCTTCAATTACAGGCAGCGGCCCCCAGCCCTGGCTTCCAGCAGGAACCAGAGTCCAGGCCGCTTCCACAGGGCAGGGGTGCACCCCTCAGCCCTCGCTTCAAGGTGTGGGGGCTCCCTGTGGCCTCTGGGGCACCTCCAAACACTCCCTGGCCCGAGGGCCACGCGAAGGGCTGCCCCGGGCCTGCCGAGAGCGCGTCCCCGTTGAACGCCCGCCTTCTTTGTCCCTGTCAGGATGAGACCTCTGTGAGCAGTGAAGACTTTGATATGAACGACTCCACATGGATGTCAGCTGACCCACACCTGGCCTCCAGCCTGAGCCCCAGCCAGGACGAGAGGATGCGGAGCCCGCAGAACCTCCACAGCCAAGAGGACGGTGAGTGCCCTGGCGGCCGGGGAGGGTGCGGCTGCCTCAGTCCCCAGTCCTCCGAGCTGTGGACAAACCCGGGGTGGCGGGATCTGGGCCGTGGCCTCTGGGGGTGTCCTCAGCATCTGTGTGGGCCCGATGCCCTCACCCCTGGCTCCAGGGAGGGCAAGTGTCCTCCCAAAGGTGACTAGACATGACTAGATGCAGCCCTCGGGGACTGGCGGCCCAAGGGGGCGTCATGCCTGTTTGTCAGCTCTGATGCTCATGGGCTTTGGGGACGTGGCTTTCAAAGCTGTCATGGTTCAGGGCTGGGAAGGTTAACGGCGCGCCTGACCCAGAGCAGCTCAGCTGCCCAGCGGTGGGAACAGGAGCTGTGTGTCCGCAGCTTGGCGTGAGGCTGGAGGACGGGTCGCCTGGTGAGCGGCTGGGCCGTGCGGCTGTCAAAGGCACCCTCCCGCACCTTGGGAGGAGACGTGGCTGGCTGAGGAGGGGTCCGGGCGCTTCCCCAGCCTCGGCCTCAACTTTAGAGGCTTCCTTCTTGAGGGTGGAGAGTTAGGGTCAGAGGTCAGACCCCAGAGGTCCACTCGAGCTCCCATGTGGGGCTACCAGGCAGTGGGGCTCTGGGGCCCTGGCATCTGCCTCGGATGACAGGGTTTGGGTGTGGAGTGGCCTGTGGTCAGAGCACCCCGTGGGGCTCCTGTTTCCGGGGAGGAGGTGCCTGGGGGGCGGAGGATGAGCTGAAGCTGGGCCTCAGAGAACTGGGGTGTAGGAGCCACAATTAGGAGGGGTCGAAGGTTAGGGCCTGGAATGTGGGAGGGAGGTGCGGGGTTACAAGGGGGTGTAATGCTAACTCTGTGAAACGGTCAGCCTTCCAGAGTAAATAAGGGGTAGGAGCCTTGCCGTTTGGGTCAAAGTTCGTCTCCATGGCAGAAGCCGCGCCTGCCCTCCCAGGCCTGAATCCGGCTTTGTCTGGGAGGAGACCCAGCCTGAGCAGCTGGAGGTGTCTGGGCCAGGGGCTGGGGAGCCCAGGGAGTGGCTGTGCGAGGAGTGGGGTGCAAGGCTGCGGGAAAGAAAGGGCTTTTGTGCCCGGTGCCTCGTGAGGTCAGCGCGACCCCTCGTGCTGCGAGCCTCCCAGACCAGGGCCGCCTCCCAGCGTTCCCACGGGGGCGGGCACCGGGTGGGGGTGGCCACATGCCTGGGGGGCTCTGGGGTGGAGACTGCCCAGCAGCTGACCTCGCCTCGCCTGAGCTGACTGAGGCCACACCCAAAAGCACACCACGGCCACGCCAGCAACACCCAGCTGGGGCCATCAGATGCACCTCCCGGAAGGATCTGGAACTGATGGGGTCGTGGTGCCCCTGCTCGCTCCAAACAGGCCTCGTTGTGCTGCTGTTCCTCACAGCCCCCCGGAGAGTGTGACGCGTCCTGGAGAGGGGCGGAGACTCTGGGGCCTTGGGGCGGGCAGCAGAAGGCCGTGTTTCCATGGGTGCAGGGTCCTCGTCAGTGTCCGTCGTCCCGCTGCCTGGAGGCCAGCCATGGAGCTGAGGCCGAGAGCAGCACGGGGGCCGGTGGGGGCGGCAGGTTCCGGGGCTGGTGCACAGGCAGCCGGGGCGAGGGCAGCCTGGGGGTGGTCACCCCCACCCTGGGCCCCTCCTGGCCGTGGGCTGGGCTGAGGCTGGCCTGCTGAGGGGACGAGGCGTTTCTCAGGCTGGGCCCCGGAGCTGGGACGGGGAGGCCAGCGCTGGCCGTGACGCCTGGAGCCCCGCTTGCTCAGGCTGTCTGGAGGCCGGGCCGAGTGCTGGCCGTGAGGAAGCCCCGGTGCTGGCCTGGGCCCTGCTGCGCTTTCTGGGCCCTCTGGCCTGTTGGTGACCTCTGTCTCTGCTGAAACCCGGCAGGCGTCAGCTGGGCCTAGATGGGCCTGGAGTCCCTGGCCCCTTCCGCCCCCACGCAGCGCACGGCCAGCTCCTCTCGGGAGGTGCTCATGGCGCGGCCACAAGCTGAGCTCTGGCTCCCGGGAGCGCACCAAGGGGAGGCGGTCGGGGTGCTGCCAGTGCCCCTGTTAGTGCAGGTCAGGGACAGGCCATGCAGGGGATCCGGGGGCCCACACCCCACACCCAGCATGGCCGTCCACGTCCCCGCTCACCGTCTCCATTCCAAAGCCTCCCCCACCCCCACCGGCGCCCAGATGGGCTTGGTGCGTGGCCTCTGTCCTCCAGTCCTTTGTGGACGCAGCAAGTTGGAAAGGTGGTCATCTGAGGCCCCACTGTCTGTGAGGCGCACCGTGTCAGTCTCGGTCCCCACCCTGCCCCTGACGCGAGCTGCGTGGTTGGCACGTCACAGGGGCCTGCCGAATGTTGCCTAAACAGATAAATGAACAGACGTTTATTGAGGCCTGCCTCTAAGCACTGCATCCATAGCAGATACAGGTCTGCCCCTTGTGGGGGACAAGCTGGGTTCTTTGTTTCTGAGGACGTCCCCCAGTCTGGGTCTTTTCGCGTAGCCAGAAGTGCGGGGATCCCAGGGTCCTGCCCCTGGGAGGGCGCGCCCAGCCCTGCTCCCCAGCCCAGACAGCCTGGGGGCCTGGCGCTGAGCACAGATTCACGCGTTGCTGGACTTGTTGGGGCTCTTCTTTTTCATAAAATTTGAACAAAGGCAGGTGAGGGCTGGGCCTCGGCAGGCCAAACCCACCGCCGAACCCGAACCCTCCGAGCCCAGAGTAAATGGTGAGCCTTGGCTCCCCGAGGAGTTTGCAGATGCCACAGTTTTACCAGGGTTTGGGGATCTGCTTGTCCTGAACTGGTGACGCTTTCATCCCAGTTCTGCCACCATCTGGAGTCTTCGTCTCTCCGGGTCTTTACTGTGCCCCGCACCCATCGCCGAAGCCCCGTGCCGGGTCCCTGTGACCGCAGCTGCTGCCACTTGGCAGGGAGCAACCCCACACATGCCCCCGTCTCACACGGGAGGAAACAGAATCAGGGCGAGACCGGGTGACCTGGCCAGAGGTGGGGGGTGTGCTGGGGAGAAGCCAGTGCTTCTCCGCTCCCCTCCTCGGCAGGTGTGGGGCCACGTGTAAGGGTTCCCAGATGACGGGCACGGGCCTGGGGGGCCAGAGGCCTCCCCACACTCAGGGCACTGGCTCCTCCGGGCCCAGAGTGGCACCGGCCAACCCCTGCCACCGAGTCCTGCCCAGGCAGAGCCAGGTCCCCTCCAGACCCTCGGCCGAGCCCAGGCTGAGGCTTGGGCTTTCTCTGGGGTCGGAACAAGACTGTGTGCATGGGCGGGTGTGGAGAGAGGATACCTGGGGGGAGCCAGCTCTTAAGACTTTGTCCAGAGACACTGGTCTGGCGTTGCCTTGGGGCTGAATGGCATGTCAGCTTGTAGTTGCACCGCATCCCTGGGGTCACCCGTGAAATGCAGGAGTCTCTTTCCCTTGTTCTGCGAGCCCCCAGCCCCCAGCACAGGGAGTGAACTGCGGATGAAAAGGCAAACAGGCCCACGGGCAGGTGGGCCGCGCACCTCCTGAAGGCCAGGTGCAGGCCGGGCCAGGTCCCGGCCCTGCAGGCGGCCGCTCCTTCCGTTTCCCCTGGCAGGGCTTCGCCAGGCCCCTCTGCCCCTTCCTGAGCGGAAAATGTGAGGCCGGGCCTCCAGAAGGGAAGGGATGCGTGGGGGTGGGGAGCGGACATTACTCACCTCCCGGGCAGACAGGAAGCCAGCACCAGGGGGGAGCACAGGGTCTGCTGCACCGGGCCTTCCTCCGCCTGCCTTCCGCAGGATGGGGACGGGGTTGCCGGGCAGGAGCCGTGTGGAGCCTGGGACGTCTCAGGGCCTCGAGTGTGTGCCTCCCGGATGAGGCAGCTCCTCTAGCCTGGACCCCGGGACCCACCGGACCTCAGAGCGTCCCTCTGTCCAGGCTCTGAGGCGGGACAGAGGCACTGAGGGTCCTGCAGCTCTTCTGGGGCTCGCCCTCGGGGTAGCCGTGAGTTTGCTGAGCGCCCCACTCCCAACCCTACCCTCGCCCTGGAGGAGGCTGGGGTCCAATTGGAGAGGGACAGACACAGAGGTGGGGGCCCTGCCAGGCTGTTCATCGTACAAAATTTAGAAAAAAATAAAGGAGAAAAAAAAAGAAAATTAAAAACACCAAAGTTTGGGGGCATATTTTTCTCTGGCTTTTATTTGCATATAACCAAAGCCTCGTTTTCATCTAAAAAAAGGAAATGGGATCGTGTGGTGTTGTAGCCACCTTTCTTCCCACGTAGTGTCATTGGGTGTGTGTGGATCAGTGGCAGTTTTAAAGGTCGCCCAGTCAGCCCAGTGACCGGCGACCTCATTCCTGAGCCCACTTTGCGTGGCCCGACCCTGTGGCTCAGAACCATGACTGTTCTCAATTTGCAGAAGAGGAAACGTCTCCAAGCGGGAGGTATCTTGCCCAGGCCACTGGGTGCAGGTCTCTCCTGCACCGGAGTTCGGCCACTTCTGGGAAGGACGTTCACGTCCCTGGTTTCTTCCTGTGCGCAGTGCCATGGGGAGCATCCTCGCAGCTCAGTCCCCACCACATTGGGGTGCTCAGCAGATGGCCACCGAGCGACTAGCCTCAGAGACTGGGGGCCCCGGAAAGGGAGAGGCTTTGGGCGGAGGCTGTGTTTGGCAGGGCGGCCGGGGCGGGCCTGGGAGGCTTGGTGGCAGTGCGTCTGCAGGGCGCTGGGAAGGGAGGAAGATGCTCGATGCCAGACTTGGGGGTTTCCTGGGTCTTCTGTTTCCAAAAGCTCCCTATGACCCCAAGCTCCAGCCAAGAGAGACAGGGCAGGGAGGCCATAGCCAGGCCACGTGGCGAGGGTCTGGGACACCAGGGGTTCCAGGAGAGTGGAGGGTGGCCGGGGCTGTTTCTGTGGGCCCGAGGTCTCCACTGGACGCAGTGTCCTGTAGGTAGGGCCCGGCACTCTGCTGTGGATCTCTTGCATGGCTCCTGGCCTTGCCCTTGCCCTGCTGTGTGAGCCTAGGCAAGTTGCCTG